ATTCTGTAATTATGTGTATTGATTGCTGCCTTTAAAATCACTGAACCAAAGAGTAATGTTTCCTCAATGCCTTCTGTGGTCAGTAAATGAATTAAATTGGAATGTAGCCAGAAGGATGAGAAATATTTGTTCTGGATCAACCTATATTATTTAATTTCTGCCTATTCTTAATGTCCTGTCTTTTAATATGTAAAATATTACAAGTGATAATTCACCCCTCCCCCCTCAAATAGTTAATTTCAAATGATTACTGCAAAATTAGGAGAGGTTCTATTCCCTACTCTGACACTGTAAGCTTGGAGAAATCACTTCCCCCTCTGAGTTTTAGTTTTCTTATCTGTGGACTAAGGGATATTGGCCTATTCGTGGAGTCAGTATTAAGAGGAAATTCATTGGACAAGCAACTCTATTCCTTTGTGTCTGTTTCTTCAACTGCAGAATGACAGGTTTGGACTAGGCAAACTCAAGGCCCCTCCAAGCTCCAAAATCCTATGATAATTCTCTAAATTATTCACAGAGGTCATAGAATATTATGTTTGATTTCCGAATTTTATAATAATCAAATGCTAATGTTATTGCTCACATGAAAGTAGGTCACAATTGTTGTCACAGAATCCTTATTCCCCATTTTATAATAACTTCAATGTGATCAGTTTTTTTTTTAATATTCTAACTGGTGTTATTTCACCATTATCAATTTAAGCATCCTTTATTTTTCAGACCACATAAATGTCACCTTCCTTGGTGACTCCTTTCTCATTTAGTATATCTCTGTGTGTGCCACTTAGTTGGTATTGCCTTGTGTTATTTGCTATTTCATTTGCATTTTGGGTAGATTTAAGCTCCTTGAGGAAAGATATCATATCATATATTGTACTTCATTTGTACGTACTACCTAGCAAGTTCTGATCCTGTATGAGAAGGACTCACTCCATGTTTAGACTCAATTCCAGAGTGAGGAAGGAGTATAATAATCAGATAGCTGTGCGCCTCCTCATTTTACAGTAGAGGAAACTTGTGGAAATGGATCAAATAATGGATGCAGCAGGTATTGATTCTCAAAGTGAATTCCTGCCACATGCTTTCGTACCAAGATTGACCATAATATTTATGCTGATTCCAAATGCCATATGAAATATAAAGTGCTGCACATGAACTCTATCGTCTTTTGAGCCTCTTAGGGTTCCTAGAACAATGTTATACACACATTGAGTGCTTAATAAATCATGAATGATCAGCAGTGGAAGGTTCCAAATCATGAAAAGGCTGGAAGAGAGAAACCCTTTTCTGGTTTGGATTGCTGTTTGAGGAAAGGAAGACTCTAGAGGTTTTAAGGTTTAATTATTTTATTTGAAATAGCACGATATTATAGATAGAGTGCTATCCTTGGACCAGCATGTAGATTTAATCATGTTTTAATTATCAAGTTATCTTAAGATTTATTTCTGAAGACTTAGTGAATCTATTGAGTTGTGACTCCATGCCAGCTATGGCTAGTTAATTCTTTTCATTAGGGTGTGGTGTTAATGAGGACCAGTCTACAACCTCAGTTCTTAGTATAATTCAATTCAGTTCATTTATTAAATGCCTCCTATGTGCAAGACACTGGTAGACAGTAAGGATATAAAGACAAAATCTTAATAGTCTTTTTCCTCAAGGAAGATAGTATTGTCCTTAAAAGTACTTCTCTCATGAATGAATATGTGTGACTGAGGCTTCTTGTAATCTAATCTTGTAACCCTCCACTTTTTAATATCTTAATCCCAACACTATTTCCAAAAAAACAAACAAAACAAACAAACAAAAAAAGAACTTTCTACTGTGCTCACCTACCCACTGAAATCACCAGATATCAAAGTATGCATTAACTTCATTTGGAACATATTTTCAAATCTTAGTAGGATTTCTCCCTGTAACAGATGTGTCATATGCTAAATTATCTTCATCAAGGTCTTTTTGCTTATGCTCATTATGACCATTTAAGATGAGAAGAGTAATTGTCCAATGAAATGTTTCTCATTGTCTTTGGACACAGGACAAGGCCAATTATTTTATTTTTAAATTGATTTTTTTCCCCTAGTTATCACAAATACCTCTTCTCACTTCTCCTTTCCCTTCTCCCCAATTACTTTTATCTATGCAACTGAGTTTTCAATATGGATTTGGAAATACAGAAACAGATACTGCTCAGGTAGATTCAGATATAGCTCAATTTAATGTTTTTTCCTTCATCATTTCTCAGCATAGGTCATGATCCAGTTAGTAAATTTCTTTTCTTCATAATAGACAGTTATATTGTAAGCAAGACTGAGTCAAGAAACCTGTGTTCTAGTACTAGCTGTATCATTGACTAATGACTTTGGGAAAGTCGGTTTTTCCTCTTCTTATCTCATTCCTGATCTTTAAATTAAGGAAATTGGACCATTCAAACCTCTAAATTCCCTTGTAGCTCTAAGATAGTGAGTTCCTTAAACAAGCAATATAGCCCACCAAGTAGATATTCTTAACAACTAGTATTGGTTTGTTTCATGATGTCGATGAGACATTGAGAATAAGATATATGAAAGTATACTTAGCAGATTTCAGGTAAAATGGTTCCTATTTGTTGAGAAATGTTTTTGTTTTATCTCTTTCAATACAAGTGAGTTCACTATTTTATATCTGAATCAAATAGAAATTTGAGTGTCAGGCCAGAAACTTGCTAAGATGATAATATAGTGTAATGCTATTATAATGTTGCTCCTTAGGGATCTATGCTCCCAGACTAAGTTATAGTGGAATTTGTGTTATAATAATGTTTTGCAGTGGAGTGATTGTGTTACTTTACATAGCAACGTTCACTCATAGACCAAACCATTTTCTTTCTCTGCTTCTCTTCCCTTTCATTTTGATTTTCTTTGATTTTCTTTGATTCTTTCATTTTCACCCCCAATATAAGCACTGTGTGAGGACTAACACCTAAACACTGGCTAATTTAGGAGGTCTTGAAACAATGAACTTGAATCATCATATTTTTCACTTCCAAAGTGGTATCAGCCCCAGATTCAAGTGAGTGGGTAGGAAAGAGTAAAAGAATGTAAAAGAAATGTAAAAGAAAGGGAGAAAAGGGTAAGAGATAAGTGAAGTACCCTGTGATATGTTAGCTTCTGTTTTGATAACTAATGAAGTTATTCCAAAGAATATAAATAATAATAAGTAATAATCTTTTGGATAAATGCAGTACCTCCTTGTGACCTTAAAGTTTTTAACTGGCAATGTTTATTGGTTCATGATACTTAATGTTAATATGTTATTCTGAGAACTTTATTCCAAGAATTGCATAGTTTCTAAAAAATACATATCTGTACTGTCAGATGATGGAATTAATTCATTTTAGTAGATTCCATATTTGTCACTATTATTTTTATACATTTTACTGTCTTCATTTTTATTGTTGTTGTTATTGCATATTTAGCTTATTTAGTTTGACATTTATATTGCTACTTGAAGTCAGTGACTATTTGCTTATGTCTCTCAGTGCCTGGCACACAGGCACCCAATAAATATTTGTCTGATTGATTGATCAATCTGACTATTTTCATGATACCACAAAATTTTTTTGTGGTCATTTCGAGCAGTATTCATGCTTGTGGAAGGACCAAGAGGAGGGTAGCATTTAAAAATACGCAATACCCAAAACATTGTTGCAAACTTTTCACATTTCCTATGATTTTTTTTTTTTACTAAAGTATTTCCTTTTTAAAGAATATAACTCATAGGTGGTTGTGCAATCAGTATGCCCAAAGGTTAAATACACAGGTGTTTACTGAATTGGTGTCTTGAAAAGAGAAATGCAGTTGGATGGAAGAAGGATTTTGCCTATTCTTGTATCCTATAGTTATATGAGTCAGGTCTCATTGGCTAATTGTTTTAAGTGCAGGAAAATTTAGGATATTTTTTTCCTTTTACACAACAGAAAATATTACCCTGCACTTCTTTACCAATTCTATTCTATTGATGTATCTAAGTGAGTTTCTCCACCTTCCTTATACCATAGATGATGACTCTAAAAACAGAAATAGGATCTTATTTCAAGGGTAAATGAAATGCATATTTTAAAACATAAGAGCCAACAAAATGATTTAAAAGTTTTAAAAATTTGCCCCATGACCCCAAAAAGGATGAAAATAATTTAAACTAATTCATGCTTTTATATGAAGAAATGAAACTATACTATTTACTTAATGCTATTTTTAGATATAGAACCTAGAGCTACTTTGTAATAAAGTAGACTTCTGTCTGAATTACTTATTAGATAGAATTGAGCTTGTGTTCTTCAGATGAGATCAAATATAGATCAAATCCTATTAGGAGTGAGTACCACTAGAACAAAAATATCTTTATAATGAAAAGTGATTATATCACCTACTGAGAGCCCATTTATTTTGAGCAATGTTCAGTGAAATGCAGTTATGGTTCAAACATAACATCTCTAGTTACAAGTAGATTTTTACTGATTTTGGTCACCCCAATCAGCCCTCAACAAGTACTTTTTAGTCTAATTTGTTTGTCCTTGTTTTAGATTAGGTAGATTGGGTGGGTAATAGTTGCAGTTGAAGTTTCATAG